GTTTTTCGGGGTTTTAAAGCCAAACCCATGGTTTGAAAACCATAGAATAAGTGCTGTCTCTTATACACATCTAGATGTGTATAAGAGACAGCTCGTGAAGTCTCATTGGAATGGGCATGTGACCCCAGGGTGTATCACTTAAGCAGGATAAAATGTAATCACTGCTGAAATTCTTCTGAAGCTACAATAACAATTTCCGATGACAATATGATGTTGTATCAACCATATCCTCGTCCGTAAACCACTGTTGTGTCATTATTATACGGGTAAAAAGCACAAAACATGATAGACCTAACAAGATTCGATAAGCCTAATAATTAAAATTATTTTGTAAAGTATTTATTTTGAAATTTCTCTGCATATCGCCGCATGACCCCCAGTGATAATGTCTTGAAGAGCAGGTCAGGTCTCAAATTATCTTGTCCGGGAATTTGCGATCCAACAACTGCACGAAAAACCTGAAAAATAGAGTATCATTTATTAGAATTAAAAAAAATTCGTTTGAAAGAACTTCAGTATTTTATTTTTTCTTTTGTATTGATTCTCTTCACATCATTAAGTCACGGTTTTGTAAATCTTTAGGCAAGTAATTTGCTTATTTCATATATTTGTTACACACATTTCTAGTATTATTCCATTTATTTCTGATTTAGAGGAAACCTAGCAACAAACGTTGGCTCAAAAATTGTACACACTAAAAAGTTCTTTACTAGGGATTCAAAGTTGAATAACGAATGCTAAACATGGATTTAAGCAATATCATATTTGTTTTTGAAAAAAACTCTTGAACATATTAGCTAATGAAAAAATTCTTCCACTTAGAAGTTTGAAGTTCAAACTTTTGAGATTATTTTAAATAAAAAGGAAAATAGACATAGATGCCGTATATTGGAAAATGCCAATAGTTCGACTGCCCTGCTGATTATCCTCCACCAACCTCGTTTTTCCAATGTTTTTGGTTATTCTAATATGAGGCTAAAAGAAATACACAGTTATTATCAATTGTCAAAAAATTGTAGATTTTTTGTGTAAATGTTACTGGTACTTCGAAATAAGATGCATATTTTATGGGACTCATTTATTCTACAGTAAACCTTTGTGGAATTATTTATCATTCAATTTCTCACCTTTTCACGTGATTCTTTTCTGCATTTCTTTACCGTTTCCTAAAATAATAGCAAAATTTAACAAAACATTAAATTGCTTACCAACGCTTTTTTTAACAAGAAATGTAAAAAATTGAATTCACGCTTGAAATCTTCAGTAAAAAACTGCTCTAACTCGCGCCGATTCATCACATTTCTGCCTAGTCCCTCTCGTCTAGAAAAACCCGTCGATTCCATAGCTTCAAAAATCTTCCCTTCAAGGGTTCAATACTCAAGGTAAATATTGCACAAATGCATCATATATACTGTGTTAGATTCCTGCCGTCACATACCTACTACCACGCCGCAGCATTTTACATCCATTGAATGATGTTGTTCGTTGACAACTCGATGAAGGTGAGATCAGGTGCACCGCTGCCAGCTGACGTCAGGTGCGCCGCGCCAGGGTCGTGGTATACCTCCCGGATTTGGGGGAGCTCCTCGAACAGCCGACGAGCGCCCGCAGCGGTGAGGCCATTTCTCGGTAAGACCAGACTCAGGCTGAGATGGCAATCAATTCAAGAACTAAGTAATAATACATTTTTACAGGAAATGTGAGGAATAATTTTCGAAAAGCTGATCTCGATACACAGTAGACATGTTTGACCGAATGAATCACTTGAGTTGGCTACACCGGCTTTTTTTGGAGGCTTATATCTCTTCCAATTATATATACCCCTATACCTCCTATATATTGGAAGTATAGAAAGTTTGAGGCTATACCGAAAGCGACTGACATTTGGCTTCATTACATCACAAGATATTTTGTAAGAACATTTACATATTGCAATGTTTTTTCACAATGTTGTTATTTCATACTTTGTTTCAAAAAATTGTTTGTCAAATATTTAAAGTGTTTCTCAAAATCATATCAATTCATTTCGGAAGAGACAAATTCTTAGTGCTCGAATGGCAAGCGCTAGAGTAACAGAAACTGCCAGTAAGAGAAAACTAATAAATTCAAATTTAGTTTATTCATACTCACCGAGAATCCCTGAATTGGCGCAGGATGCCAATCATCCAGTCCAAGTCCACGTTGCGGAGGTCTGGGAAGTGCCAGCGGGTGACGCTGTAACCGCCATACCTCATACGTGAGATGAATTTGAAAGACGCTCCATGTCTACAACAAACATCGTCTGAAGAACAGGCCGAAATCACATGAACAAGAAAGATTTTCTCAGCTAGTGCATCCTTCTGTTCAGTATTAAAAATCTTTGTCATCCTCATTCAATCCAAGTTCCATCATTTTGACGGTAATGACGTGCACGATACAATTTTTGACGATTGCTCTTAACAATTTACTGATGAAAGGTAAAAATTCAGCGCAAATAAATTGTCATCCAGCCGAGGCTACTAGTGATTCAAACTTGCATTGAATACGTCCGCACTGATAGCTGCTTTTCCATCCTGCACCGTAAGTTGGCTGCATTGATGGTCTGTGGCAATGTGTAGTTAACGAATTAAATTTTCTTTTTCAATATGCAGATCATCCAGGCTCATAAATGCTAAGTCAGTTTACGTTGTTCATTGTCTCCGCAGTGACGATGGTTAATAAAAGCCTTCGACCTCTGCAAGGCCAATTGATAGATGACAGGGACGTTTTTGTTTCATTAAGTTATGCTCTCAGTAAATTATGTAAACTTGTACAGTAGCAAGGTTATTAACATAAAAAAGTAATAACTTATGATAATGCAATGCTTTGGAATGGTATCCATGCCATTTCGTCAGCCATCGTCACTCATAGTTGCCAAGAAACGGCGAGGTCACTTTCTGCTTTTTAAATCAACAATTTTCAATGCCAGTTACAACGAAGGGTTCAACTTACGGATATTAGAAACTTACCAATTTGCTTTGGTAAAGCCTCAAGTTCCAAGGTGCTGAAGTTGCTGTCGAAACGGACACCGATCTTATGTGTCTCCCCTCTTGTTGCCCCTGTTGGAGTTTGGGAGCCGTAAATCTACCTTTCACACAAAGTCCGAGATCGGTTGCCAAAAAATATCCAATTTTTATGTTCGGAATAATTTATTTTGTCCATCCATTTTAACGCGTTCGTGATCCTCATCAGTTTCCATTTTTCATTTAATTTTTCTTGCACATAAAATTTTCTTGATGACCTCGAACTCAACCTATGCTTCATAGTTGTGAGCATCTCTCTGTTTATTGATGTATATAAAAGTAAATGGAATTTAAAAACGCTAGTATGTGTTTTGTCCTTACAAACTTGCTTCAGGAATCAATGGTGTAGCATAAGCAATGATAACAATTCCTGGAAAAAATGCCGTTTCACAGGAAAGACTTGAATAATTTCATGTCTTGCAACAGATAAAACATTAATTTATACCAATTTGAATGAATCAGAAATAATTGGGCTGAAGTATAAATCGATCTTAGGATACAATCTACCGCTCAGCATACCGGCGGGATGTCGCTTGTCTGGCGGGATGTGTCGCCTCCAGACTTGATCGACAGAGCCGTACATGGTATCTAGGCGATCACTGTAAACACAGGAAAATGTGAGAGAATGTATGATCAAGAAACATCACATTTTGAAAGAATAGGAAGAATAAGGTACAGTAATTTGTGGGGTTATGAGAGTTTTTATGAAACTGAAATTGCCATATCACGTCTAGACTTATGAGCATGGAACTTGAAAATTTTAACTCATATTAGAGCTACGAACATTAATTGCGTTCCAACCACCAACATGGGAAAGCTTTCATTGAATGCTCACACGTGTCTACCTGTAGACAAAACATGAGTTTACACAAAATTTGATGTTCATTTTAAAGGTACATTCAAGTTACGATGGAAGCCAAAGCGAGATCACGTCGATCAGAGGTGATTCAAGACCTGAATGTGGAAGAAACAACTGTTGTACTATTTATTAAAAACGATTAAATATCATAAATTGCGCATACGTCATAAATAAACCTGAAGACTCTATTAAAAACATCAATTGGAATACACACATGGCATGGGCACGGATAAAATTTCTTCACATTGTTCATTTACTTTGTACTTATCCTTATACCATGAGATATTTTACTCCATTTATGAGCGATAAGTTTTAAGATGCTCTAAATTTTATTCTTGACCTCGTTATCACAAGAAGAGCGGAGATTAGAAACGTTCTCCTAACCCGCAGCTATCAGAGCGCGGACTGCGATACGGATCACGCACTCGTGGCCAGCAGGGTGCGCATGGCGCCGAGGAGACTGCATCACTCAAAAGGTATGAGTCACCCTCGTATAAATACCAGCTGCACCCACGACCCTGTGGAGACCCGGCAGTTCGTCAGCAGCCTGGAAGCTGTTCTTGGTGAGAATGCACAGGAGGGCGATGACATTGACTGCAGGTGGTCACGCCTTCGCGACGTCATGTGCGACTGCGCCGTTAAAGCCTACGGTAGAAAAATAAGGAGGAGCACGGACTGGTTTGAGGCACACTGGGGGGAAATGATGCCGGTGACGGAGAAGAAAAGACAAGCTTTACTGGCCCACAAGGTCAACCCCACACCCGGCACGCTGCAGCCCCTCCGGACCGCCAGGGGTGAAGCTCAGCAGACCGCTCGACGTTGCGCCAACATGTACTGGAGAAACCTCTGTAGCAGCATTCAGTCAGCTGCCGATGCAGGCAACTTGAGGGGGATGTACGAAGGTATAAATAGGGCCACAGGACCAACCCCGTCCAAGACCGCTCCACTTAAGTCCAAAACCGGTGAAGTCCTGGCAGATCAGGAGGGGCAGATGCCGCGCTGGACCGAGCACTACCTGGAGCTGTACGCAAAGTTGAATACAGTAACTGCCACAGCCCTTGACTCAATCCCGGGCCTGCCGATTATGGGGGAATTGGATACCCCTCCTGCTGTGGAAGAGCTTAGTAAAGCCTTGGACTGCCTTGCCTGCGGCAAAGCACCTGGGAGCGACAGAATTCCTCCGGAAATATTGAAAAGCGGCTAACCAGTTCTGCTCCAGCCACTCCACGACCTTCTTCGCCACGGTTGGGAGCAGGGTTACATCCCTCAAGCCATGCGTGATGCGAAGATTGTCACTCCGTTTAAGAATAAGGGAGACAGAAGTGACTGTAACAGCTACAGGGGAATCTCTCTCCTCAGCGTTGTTGGCAAGGTTTTCGCCCGGGTCGCTCTCTCTCGCTTGCAGCTCCTCGCCGCTCGCGTCTACCCCGAATCCCAATGTGGATTCAGGGCTGGTCGATCGACGGTGGACATGATTTTTTCCCTGCGTCAGCTGCAGGAGAAGTGCAATGAGCAGCAGATGCCTCTCCACGTCGCTTTTATTGACCTAACGAAGGCTTTTGACCTGGTTAGTCGTGACGGACTTTTCCGCTTGTTGCAGAAGATCGGCTGCCCACCGCGCTTACTCGCGGTGGTCAAGTCCTTCCACGAAAATATGCACGGCACGGTTTGCTTCAACGGTGTGTCCTCAGAAGCTTTTCCAGTCAGCAGCAGAGTGAAGCAGGGCTGCGTGCTCGCGCCCACGCTTTTTGGTATCTTCTTCTCCATGCTTCTTCGGTACGCCATCGCGGACTGTAACGAAGGCGTTTTCATACACACCAGACATGACGGTAAGCTCTTCAATATAGCCCGTCTTCGGGCCAAAACCAAGGTCACCAGGGTCCTAATCCGCGAGATGCTCTTCGCCGACGATGCAGCCTTGGCATCGCATACCGAGGGAGGACTCCAGCAGCTTATCACCCGCTTTGCTTATGCCTGTAAAGAGTTTGGCCTGACCATCAGCCTGGGAAAGACTAAGATATTGTCCCAGGGCACTGGGACTCCCCCGAGCATTGTTCTGGATGGTTACACCCTGGAGGTCGTCGAGAACTTTACCTATCCCGGGTCCAGTATCTCCAGTTCACTGTCCATCGACTCCGAGATAAACAGCAGGATTGCCAGGGCCGCCACAGTCATGGCCAAATTAACCCAGCGAGTTTGGAACAACTCGAGCCTGACCGTGAAGACTAAACTGTGCGTCTACAAGGCTTGCGTCCTCGGCACTCTCCTGTATGGTTGCGATACATGGACCACCTATGCAGGGCACGAAAGGAAACTCGACGGCTTCCACATGAGGTGTCTCCGGCGCATACTGCAGATCAAGTGGCAGGACAGAGTTCCCAATTCTGTGGTACTAGAGCGATCAAATATGATCAGTCTGCTCTCAGTTCTCAGCGAGAGACGTCTCAAGTGGCTGGGGCATGTCAGTAGGATGGGAGCGGGCCGCGTACCCAAAGACCTCCTCTACGGCGAGCTCGTGTAAGGCCGACGGAAAACGGGACGCCCGAAACTACGCCTCAAGGACATCTGCATGAGGGATTTGAAACGGTACCGCATCGACCCATCCTCGTGGGAGACCCAAGCAGCTGACCGCCAGGGTTGGAGACTCGCTGTCGGGCAGGCCGTGTTCTGCGCTGAGGTCGAGCGCCGCGGTGGCGACTCTCAGAGGAGATTCAGACGGTAACAGCGGACGACGCAGCAGCGACAGCCATCTGCCTTCACCTGTGATGGCTGTGGATTGGATTGTCACTCCAGGATCGGTCTGCACAGCCACTCCCGGCGATGCAGGTGGGACCGATAGCTAACCCATCGTCTCTCGAAACGGACGGATGCCGACGACGACGAAATTTTATACTCAATTCATTAGGTGATGATAAATAAATTGGTTCTAAAAATTGAACGCAGCTGCGTTTGAAATTTCCATTCGCTAGTTCAGCAGGTTATCGCTAAATTTAAACATATTGTCAATAAAAGAGATGTAAAAATGTGACAACTTGAATTGGTTCATGGAAGTCAGAATCCTGAGGACAGTTCAACTGAAAGTCGATAATAGAAACACCAGCATTCGGCATTCGACATTCTTTGCAACAGTGATGACAAAGTCTGATAATTTTGTTATCGTGGTGATGATGGTTATAGTGAGGGTAGGTGATGATGATGCATGGCGGTGCGGTGCCACTAGGGAATAGCGGAAGTGAACAAGAGGTGGCGCAGATTGGCCATAGGAGGAAGGAGAAATGTCCGGACAGTGGGAGATGAGACAGGACAGTAGAAGATGAGACAGGACAGTATCTCCTACTGTCCTGTAGGACACTGAGACAGGACAGTAGGAGATGAGACAGGACAGTAGGAGATGAGACAGGACAGGGAGATGAGCTGTCTCTTATACACATCTAGATGTGTATAAGAGACAGCACGGAGTCAGGTGCACGGAGTCAGGTGCACGGAGTCAGGTGCACGGAGTCAGGTGCAGTCTCTCTGCAGGACCAAACTTAAGCTGTGACCAAATTCAACAAATAGCAAATAAACGAGAAATTTTGATTTGAAATATTGTGAGTCTGAATTTCTAGGACTTGTTTGTGCACACAAATAAATATTAACAATCTTTGAACAGAAAAAATTAGGTATCACTCAAGCTGAATTAAATGAAGAGTTTGAAGTTTTCAAAATTTCAATTTTAATGTTTCCATGTCTGAAGTGAAAGTGGACACATAAGTTGAATTAAAATGGCCTTATAAGGTTTTGAAATTGAAAGATAAGAAAATACTCCAGCCAAATGATTTGCCTTCGTGAGTGAAAAATACAACGGAATAGATGCATGTTTGATCGGGATATCTAAAATATTTCAGTGAGAACAATGATGAATAGAAGTTTAAATAATTATTATCCTCAGGTAGTTCATTTATTAAAGGTTCCATCACACAACCTCTGGGCGCTGAAAGGGAACAAGATTAGCGCCACCAAGTCCAGGTGCTCGCCCCACAGGTCGGGGGACCAGCGGGTGACTGTACAGCGCTGCAGGGAGGTGCCAGCGGGTGACTGTACAGCGCTGCAGGGAGGTGCCAGCGGGTGACTGTACAGCGCTGCAGGGAGGTGCCAGCGGGTGACTGTACAGCCGCGATGCTGCAGGGAGGTGCCAGCGCGTGACTGTACAGCCGCGAGGTGCACGGAGTCAGGTGCACGGAGTCAGGTGCACGGAGTCAGGTGCAGTCTCTCGGCAGGACCAAACTGAAGCTGTGACGAAATTCAACAAAAAGCAAATAAACGATAAATTTTGATTTGAAATATAGTGAGTCTGAATTTCTAGGTCTGTTTGTACATACAAGTAAATAGGAATAACTTTTGAACAGAACAAATTATTTAGTACCTCCTAAGCTGAATTAAATGAAGAGTTTGACGTTTTCAAAATTTCTATTTTATGTTTCAATGTTTGAAGGGAAAGTGGACACATGAGTTGAGATAAACTGGCCTTATTAATTTTTGAAATTGAAAGATTTGAATATATTTCCGCCAATTGATTTGCCTCTGTGATTGAAGAATACAATGTAATAGATGCATGTTTGACCGGGATATCTAAAATATTTCAGTGAGAACAATGACGAATATAAGTTTGAATAATTAATAATTAGTGTCATCAGGCAATTCATTTATTAAAGGTTCTATCACACAACCTCCGCGCGCTGCAAGGGAACAAGATTTGCGCCACCAAGTCCAGGTGGCCCCACAGGTCGGTGGACCAGCGGGTGACTGTACAGCCGCGGTGCTGCAGGGAGGTGCCAGTGGGTGACTGTACAGCCGCGGTGCTGCAGGGAGGTGCCAGCGGGTGACTGTACAGCCGCGGTGCTGCAGGGAGGTGCCAGCGGGTGACTGTACAGCCGCGATGCTGCAGGGAGGTGCCAGCGGGTGGCTGTACAGCCGCGATGCTGCAGGGAGGTGCCAGCGGGTGGCTGTACAGCCGCGATGCTGCAGGGAGATGCCAGCGGGTGGCTGTACAGCCGCGGTGCTGCAGGGAGGTGCCTATAGGTTGGCAGGCGCTTAAGTTACTCGCAGATGATCATCAACATCAGATCATCAGGATAATGTCCATTTTATTTGATGAATTTGACCTGCTTATGTACATGTGTTTCTATGTATTAAATAGCTGATGTTTTACTGCATTAACTTGTGCCAAGGATGTTTACCTGCCATAAACGCAATGCCACATTTAAGATTAGGCCTGAAGTAAACGCTCACCACAACAGCAGGTGGCATGAATATAACTTATGAGGCTTATGAGGCTTATGAGGCTGCTTATCAGCAGGTGGCATGAATATAACTTATTGCGCTCCCTGGACACGCTTCTCCCCATCACACTAGAGGCTTAGGAGGCTGCTTAACAGCAGCTCATCCACAAACAGGAGGTAAAAAGGTGTTTTGTATATTAGCTTGTCTGTGGCAATCTGCTGTATCTTTGGTTAGCAAATACAATGTAAACGTTCAAATGTACATGACTTGCATAATATCTTTTAACTCCTTTGGTGTGATGGGGAAGCAACTTGAATTGAGTTGCATTGATTGACAGTAAAATCTGGAATCTTGTGCACAGGTCGTGCGTTTAAAGAAGTGAGTGGAAATGTTGCATGTGAAAACTGTGTGGAAGTTACCTATGTCAATTGCCTCATTACTATTTAAGAGGTGCCAGCGGGTGACTGTACAGCCGAGATGCTGCAGGGAGGTGCCAGCGGGTGACTGTACAGCCGCGATGCTGCAGGGAGGTGCCTAGGTTGGCAGGCGCTTAAGTTACTCGCAGATGATCATCAATATCAGATAATCAGGATAATGTTCATTTTATTTAATGAATTGGACCCGCTTATGTTTACCTGTTTTTCTATGCATTAAATAGCAGATGTTTTACTGAAATAACTGGTGCCAAGGATGTTTACGTGCCATAAATGCAATGCCACATTTCAGACTAGGACTGAAGTAAATGCTCACTACAGGAGCAGGTGGCACGAACATAACTTATTGCGCTCCCTGAACACGCTTCTCCCCATCACACAAGAAGCTTATGAGGCTGTTTATCAGCAGCTCATCCAAAAAACAGGAGGTAAGAGCTGTGTTTTGTATATTAGCTTGTCTGTGTGGCAGTCTGCTGTATCTTTGGTCAGCAATTACAATGTAAAATTAAGCCATGATTTCTGTTGTCTGGCTTCAACTCCAATTCACATTCATGGTCTACTGACCATAACCATTGTTCGATGGTCATAAAGTTCAAATGTACATGACTTG